GGTATAGAGAGACCCAGTTTATTGCTTTTCAATCGACCCCAAATTTTGTAAATTTTAATGCACAAATATCGCCAATAATTAAGTTGCTGTTGGTATTAGCAATCCAGCAACATAACCATTTTTTATTAATGAATTTTACAACTTTCTTAGACTTATTTTTAATATTTTCTGGCCAATAAATTGTAATAATTATTGACATAGACTTGGTGCAAGAACTCAAATTAAAATTATAAACACGGAATTTACACTTACATATTTTGAGAAAAAATACTTTTCCACGAAAGAAATGCTTTGTATAAAAATATTCCAGCATTCAGAGATACATTTCAGATTTAAAAGAACAATTGTTGAGGCCAGTCGAGAGTGGAACTCTGAAATGACATCGTTATTGTTCTGATCTTGGATCTGAAATAATTAACATAAAATCAAGTATAAAATCGTAGAGATGAAAAAAAAGCATATAGTTTTGGAATAAATAAATATGTTATTGAATGTAATAACAATTAAAATAGAGATTATTAATGTTTAAAACTTAAACAAAATTCTTCCATATGAAATCAAAAATATTAAACTATTTGAAATTAAAATTAAATACAAAATGTTACTAATATAATTCCTTTAAAATTTAATAATAAATAAAGAAAAAACAGTTATCAAAACTAACAAACAAAATAATGTAAATTAAAAATAAATACCATGAAAAGAAGTTACAAATAAGTAATCTAAATATAAATATTAACAATATTAAAATGATTACCCAAAAAAATTGATAAACAAAAATCAAATAACAATTTTATATACTTAAAATAATTAATATGGATGTTGGTCGATATTTTAAATATAATTACGCAGAGATCAATTTAATCATATAATTACAAACATGCATTAACACCGGCAAACACACTAAGTAAAATTATAGAAAAAATTAATTAGAATGATGAATGTTATTTCAATTGTCAATATAACGAGGCGAAAAGTACGTTTATTTTTGTCGAAAATTTTGATATATGTAATACCATAAATGTTATAAATTATTTTAGCATGGCAAATTTTTCTTTCAATTATGTATGACTATAAGTAAACATATTACATATTAATGAAGTATTTGTTCTGATAAGTTCATATCTGAATGTTATGTTTACTAGATCTAGTCCTTTCGGATTGTATCTCAATTCTTACTGTTACGCTACATTTTTATAATAATTGGTTAAATATAAAGAAACATAAATTTAAAAAATGGGGATTGTTTAATGTTTACGTGAACTTCCTATAAGAATGTGCTTAAAAATATACCGTACACATAGCACTTATTAACATCAATAAATCAATAAATAATAATGGTTGGTCACAACAATTTATTGAATGTGGAATTGTCGTGTCTTCGGGATAAGAAATAGGAAAAATGTGGTATACTGTCTGCTGTTGAGTCTCTGTTGTTGGGAATTTCAATTAAATTAATTTGCTTTTATATAACTTTATTCATATATTGGCGATTGCTCTTTCCTTAATACTTAGTCGACACCTTATGAATCAAGACCTACCTAATCACAACTCCCATAATAATAATAGTTAGTTAATTATCTTAGATATAAAGTTAAGGGAAGAACAATCGACAAGATAATTGGGCAAATGCATAAAATTTAAATTTCCCAACCATGAAACTCCATATCGAACTACAGCAGACAACATTCCTTATTAATAGGACGTATTATATTATTTACTTTTATTTATTATTTTATTTTTCAATACATTCAAATTTATTTCAGTACAACATTTGAGTCACATCTTCATTTCATCTAAGAAAATTGATATTTCAAAAAGAATTGGTAATCGACTGTACATACTAATGCCTATATATAGTTTTAATGTGTCAACCCCTCTAATTTATACCTTTCCGAGTACTGAACCGCTGAGACCCCGGTTTGAAATTCGTCATATATTTGTGTTCGATCCGTTACCTTTAGTGTCTTTACCAGTCTTGCCGTATCTCTCCTATGTACATATTTTATAGAAGTCAGTATAAGTTGGATTTAATAGTTATTTTTTAGTTTCGTTAGAAGAAGTCGTTTATTTTGATTATTTGTTTTGAAGAGGGAAATTTTTGGTGTAATTGGAAGAAACTGGTTGCCTTAACTATTTGGACGGAAGAAGAAATCCGAAGAACACAGACAGGGGCTGGCTTATTGGCGCGTAATGCGGAAGCCAAATAAAGATGGGGAAGGAAGAAGAAGAAGACTGCACATAAAATTAATAAAGTATTATTAATCATTTCGTTGGCTCATTTGAATTTTATATTTCTCATCTCGTAAATTAATTTCAAATGACTTTCGAAAGAATTTGATTTTAATAATATCCGAATAATGATAAATATAAGATACTTTTTTTGCAAATGACTTTAAGCATCTGATTGGCATATCATATTTTTTTAAGGCGGATGATCTGGGTCATTGATTATTTAAACTTATATTTAGGTAAGATGCGATATGAACAAAATATGCATCAAGCAGCTGCAAGAAAACAACAAGCAGCATAATGAATCGAGTATATAAAAATATCCATTTTATTTGGAAATCCGTATGTAGCTCTCTATCAAGCGATTCATAAAATACAACACCAAACTAAATATGGAAGAATCCAAGGAGGAGATTCACGCTTGCCTTATGTGCATGCGAGCCATTATGAAAAATATGGTAAGAACAATCTCCTATATTTAAGTGTTTGTATTTGAATGAGTGTCTTTAAGATATTACCGGCTTTTTTCAGCGCGGTTTTAACATGGTTATACAACATAGGGAAGTAATTAACTGTATCTCAATGAATTTGATTCATAGAAGACTACGTACGAATGCTCTAATTTTGGAATTATTTGCGGCAATCAAGATCAAACATATATTTTTAAGAATGTACTAAACGAGCGTTACCGATTTGAGACTCTGATGAAATACTTCATAAATCAAGAATTGTTTCATCTAGAATTTATGGTAATTATTAAAATAAAATTACTGTCAATAAAATAAAAATGCTAATTTAGGTTTTTTGAATACAATTTGTAAATAATGTCATGCATTCAATAGATGACATGAATTTTCGGATCCATCTTCAAAATGAATTTACTTCATTTAATTTAAATGACTACCTAGAACGACTACGATGCAAGCGAGGAACTTCAAGATATATATCTATATATCTCGATAATATCTCAGAGAGTCAAAATATATCTAGTTCCGGTTTACGGTTTCGTTCCAAGTAAATGTTTATCGTTCCAGATTTGGTTTAGGTTCGTCTAAAAATTACGGTTTAGTTTCGGTTCGGTTCCGCTTGAAATTAATATTTAAAATCGAAAAAAAAGCAATTTAAATTCGTTAAAATTTAAATTCGAGTCAAATATCAAAGTTTGGTTTTATATACCAAATTCCCTTCTTACTGCTGTTTGCAATTATAAATTTGAAAAGACAAAGAAACCTCAAATAAACCTCAATTTGTGACTAGTTCAACATATACACTTTGTAATGTTTCTTCGGTCACATTTAGAGTAATATCCTTTTTAATCACTTTTATTTGAGTTTGCTCTAATGATAGTTGCGCTAGGCTTGTGCTCTTTCTTCTACAATCTTTCTCTTTTAAGTCGGTGGTTGTTTTTGAAGTTCTTCCTATTCGGCGAGACGAAAACACTAAATATGTCGTTCGATTTTTGCGGTGTGGTTTCCGTTTATTACTAAATAAATTCTTATTTTTATGGGTGTGAGTTGTGATTGAGAGTAAGGTTTTATTTATATTTATGATTAAGCGTTCACTCGGAATTAGGCCTGGATGGTTTTATTATGTAGTTGTTTATTTGAAAAAAGAAATCGGAGTATTCAAAGTGACTTTGTGGACAATAGACCGACTAACACAATGTCGAAAAATTATTTTTGTCGAATGTCTATATAAATAAACCAAAAAACTAGCACGGGCACACTACCATCAAAGAGTATACATCATTAAAAGAGATTATGAATTAATATAATGAAAAAAAAAAACCGAAATTAACCGTTCCGGTTTTTCAATTAAGCCATTTTACGTTCCAGTTACGGTTTTGTTAAAAATTCCGGTTAATTACGGTTTACGGTTTTCGGAGCTTATTATTTCTTATTGTTAAGGTTTACTATGAATAAGTCAACGAAATCAAATAAATTAATAATAATTTATTGTTATTAATAATAAATAACAACAATTAATAATCAAGCAAAAGAGCCATCGACGTAGATCTTAATTATAGGTACAATGGTAACCATCATCCAGCTTCAAAGTACTATCCCGGAAATCAACACGTTATTAACCAGATCGCACAAAATCCCTTTGTTAGGCTTCCCTACTTGCTTCTGTTCTTGATTGTATTATGTTTGAGTTTTGTTAGCAAAATATATCATGGAATAGCAATTCAAAAGTATTCGGTGGCAATTATAATAGCAGATCAGTAGTAG